CGATCTTTATATAAATCAAGTAACGATATAGCTGCAAGCTCCCACTTGTGATTTGCATCATCTCGTAATAATTCTAAAGACTTTTCAAAACTCTTCATATTTCAAACTAAGAATAAACTTCAGGATGCCTGGGCGGTTGTGGCTGAGTGGTTAGAGCAGTCGTTCTCCAATGCAAGAGTTGGGGGTTTGAATCCACCAGCAGTCACATGCTGAAGTGTCCCTGGGCAAGACACTGAACCTCATCACCTCCGATGTGTGTCCCATCAGTGTCTGAATGTGATAAAGCTCTGATTTGTCTCTTTAGAATGATTTGTTCAAATATCTTTGTAGAGATCTAGTATAGAGCTGTATGAAAGGGTAAATGAGGCACAGATTGTTGTAAAGAGCTTCTAGTGTTTTGAAATAAGACAAAAAGCTGAATAAGTATGGTCCATGATTTCCTGAAAGGATGTGTAGCTCAACTGTCATGTTTTTCAGCACATTTCTCACATGAGCATGAGGTCCCTGCTCTGTGGGAAATGACACGCCTGGTCCTGACAACCACCCAAACACTACCTGGGGGTCCACCGAGACCAACTGGACTGGACAGCTTACAAGAAAGAGCAGAGTCGCCTTTTTCTTCTGAGGAGACACTGGTCCAATGAAGTCTGCAGGACCATGCTGCAGATGTTTTACCACTCGATGGTCTCCAGCGTCATGCTGATGCCAACAGACTAAATAAACTCATGAAGAAAGCTGGCTCAGTTCTGGGAGTGGACCTGCAGTCTCTGACAGGTGTCTGAGCAGACGATGCTGAGGAACCTGCTCCAGATCCTGAACATCACGTCACAGCCCCTGCATGACGCACTGGACTCACCGCAGCACCTTCAGTCGTAGAACGAGACCACTGAGGTGCTCCACAGAACAACACAGGAAGTTCTTCCTCCCTGTGGCCATCAAGCTTTTCAACTCCTCCCCTTTCTGCACAGAGGACAACACAATTAATCCTGCAATAAACTGTTTCTGTCTGCACCTGTTTAGAACTTAATTGTACACCTGGACTATAGAAAGTACAGTTTGACTATAGAAAGTACAGCTGGACTATAGAAAGTACAGCTGGACTATAGAAAGTACA